CATTCCTACCAGAGATTGGAATCAACAATAAATCTCTACAAAGGACTGCAAAAGCTGACACAAAGGAAGAAACGTATGTTAAATAATAGTTTAGCAGACTTATTTTTTAGACATGTATTTCTAGTCTGACTTTTGAGGTCAAGATACAGGACAGAACAAAGGAAGTTGATTTTGATTGGTTAAAATAGCATGGGAATGATAGACTTTACTCCCCAAAAAACCTTTCTCTAAGCTGTTATACAATATAGATATGTTTTCTTCATGTCTGGGAAGTGGCTCTCCAGCAGAGTGGGAAAGCAAACCCACTGAAGAGTTAGAAATGTACATGTTGACGTATTTAATAAAATAGTAATTTTTAAAATACCCCCTGTTGAAGTTCTCTTATCTTCAAACCAAAAAAACTAGCGATTGCCGGCTGATAGAGAGAAGATACAACATTGTATTAATTGGCGCAGTGACCAAGAGCTCCCCCAGAATGAGGAGGCTATGCAACAGGTAATTTGGTCATGGGGTGATATGTTTAGCAGCTGCAATGTGTCCATAAAGGTTTAGTCAAAAAGTGCCCTGTGCTTGTCAAGAGGAAAAATGGTGCTCTTCTCTGTAACAATGAAAGGTTATATACAGCAAGAACAAAACACGAAAAAATTGGGATGTCGTTGATCTGTTCTACCTCATGTTCACCTGACTTTGCATCAACCAGTTATTACATTTCTTGATTGTTGTAAAATGCTAATGGGTGCACTATCGAAGAAAAGTTTATTCTCCCACTTTCATTTCCCCTATTATGGGCAGTATTATATCCATGATATAATAACATCATATATTTTTCAGCTGATATTATTTTTTTTTCTTTTAATTTTCTGCTTAAAATTCTAAAGTTTTAAAGGGCAAAATAAAAGTTGTAAACTCACCCTTTAAGAAATCTTGAAAAACCAATAGTCATAAGTAATTTCCGTTTTAGGAATCAATTGTAATGACATTTGTATCATTCAAGTGTAGTAATTCTCAATGGCATACATGTGTGTGTGTATATATATATATATATATATATATACATATATATAGAAGTAATGATATAGCATTACTATTTGAATAAATGAATAATTATTAAACTTTTTTTCAAATAATTCTTTTTACTATTCTTTGTTAATTTTAATACTTTGTTTTAATATTTATTAAGAAAAAATAAGGATCTGATTATCACACTGTGGTGGTAAAGCAATGACTCAACTGATAGTAGCAGATAGGAAAACACAAGGAGGGTAACTGACAAAACAGTGTCACATGTCCAACCTTCTCATGAGAAAAAAAAAAACCCCATGCTCAGAAACAAAAACGCGCCTGCTTTATACAGCCAAGGACTGACCATGATTTGCATGTGAATGACAAGACAACGAGGTTTTGCGTTAACTGTCTGGCATAAAACATAGGCACCGCCATTTTGGTTCTTGTATCATTGAGCAACTGGAGTTTGCACAATGCACAGATTCGCGTGCGTTTCCGAGGTAGGCCAGTTTCACAATTTTCCCCACATTTAACCAAACGTTGAAGAAATCACAAGAAACATCAGGCACAAATAGTTGAATAGAAACAGTGAAATAAAGTAAGTTCATATTTATGTGTGTATTTAAAAAAAAAAAAAAAAATAAATACATGGTTTCATTTCATAAATATGTACCCTTTAAAAGTTTTGCCAAGTGTGCTGTTGCTTAAAAAGTTAAAGAAACATTATTCTAGCAAACTATTTTTTAAATATATCTAACAGATGATGAAAAATTGTTTACATACAAAAATCAATGCAAACTTCAAATAAACAAAATTTACATTGGACAATCGGCAATTTGCCAAATAGATTGGGGGAGGGGGGAAGGAAATATAATCTTGAATAAATATGTAAATTTAGACCAAAGAAGCATTTGCTTCTTTTCCATCTTCATATATGACAAGTATAAAATTGATAAACAAAAAATCATTTATGAATCAATATATATTACTGCAGAAGAAAGATCTTTTCATTGATTTTCTGTTATGTTTTTCACCAGGTCTTCTTTTATGTTCTATGTCCCTTCAAGAGATAAGTGATCATGGCCCTTCACATCTTCCTGTATCTTGTCTTTTTGTTATTTCTCCCAAACTCAATTCTACTATCCATTTACTCAAGCCCATCAAGTATATTCTCTGCTGCTTTTCTGTGTCTCTCAATGTGTCTTGTGAGTATCAGGTTTTCCAAGGCCACCTTCCTTATTATGCAACCGGAATTAGATAGCTGCTCAGGCAGCCAGCTATTATGCTTATTTCTCTTGCTCTATTTCCTGGTCCACAAAGTGTAAAAAATAATTGTTTATATCAACAAACACAATCTTTTACAGCAGCAAAAAATTATTGTGATACTTACCAAGTAAGAAAAAGTATGGTGTGTATACAAAACTTTGAAAGAAGTTCTCTCCTCCGACAGCTTCTTGAAGGGCCGAGCGGACCTCGTTATGTATCCAACTTGGATTTCCTTTCACTAAAATAAAGTGGGGGGTCAGCAAGAGAGAAAAATATTAAAAATGATACAAATCTTGTTCAGTTGATAGGGAAGTACAAGTAACAGTTAACACAACAAATGGAATCTGAATTTTTCACACTAATACCCTTGGGAAAGGCAAAAAGAGCCCTCCTTAATAAACACAGGCTGTTCTTTAGCCTTGTGTCAAGGAGAAGGCAACAGGAAAGCACTTCAAGAATATTTATAGTTTACAGATATTAAACAAAAACATTACTCCTTTTCATCTGAAAATGTACCAAAAGGAAAAAATTCTAAAGGACTAAAAACAACAATGATGAAGATAAACGTCCAAAGAAACAATAGAATAATGGACCTCATCAGGTGTATCAGCTTAAAGGGAAAATAAAGCAAGAGCAATTTTTTTATTTATTTTATCTCTCTTATTGTAGGAAATAATATAGTAGAGCAAAAGAAAAAATATTCTATGAGAAAGTGGAGAAAAAAGGTTTTAGACTGACAAAATATCAATTTTGGTTTTTTTAAAACTTTTTAGCAGCTTGTAGTAGAATAAATTTACTTTTAGAGATAATGAAAAAAAAAAAAAATTATGAGACTGCAATTAAAAAAAAAAAATGCTGCTCTGATTAAAAGAGAAAAGAATTTACTGAGACAAAAATATTTCAGAAATGGTTTAATTGCTACATCATCCACAGTAAATTTACATCCAGGTTCTTAAAATGTTTCACCATTCTTAGTAGATCTTTTATTATGGCAATGTTGGATATTTCATAATAAAAGTGATGGAAACAAACAAACAAAAAGAATCTAAATTAAATCAGCCAGATTACATACTCAAAACACATTAAAAAAAAAAAAAAAAAAAAAAAACTATTTTAAATTCTCAACGTCTTTCATTCATGTGTCGTTGCATCAATATAAAAATAAACTTAGTCTGATGTAGTCACAAACGATGAAACGTATCACATGAAAACTTTTTCTACTTTGCCATATTTCTTTCCCTTAAAATATATATATATATATATATATATATATAAAAAATTTATGATTTATATATCCTTATTCCATATGTAGGTGGGGAGAGAAAGAAACAGCAGAATAAAATAATGGGTTAAAACTTACCTGTAATAATTGCCATAAGGAATACATTGGAGCAACCGCAAGCAATTTAAATAAAAGATTACATAAACACAAAAGAGATCTTTTCCAAAACTACACGTTAAATGCATTAGTTGCTTATTGTAATGAGTCTAACCATAATTTTGATTTAAAAAAAATGCTTCTCTAGTAATTAAAAGAGAAAACAATTTATCAAGATGAATATGTGTAGAAAGAGCTTAATTTGCAACATTATCCACAGTAAATATGAATCCAGGTTCTTGCATTTCACCTTGGAAATTTTCATGCAGCAAAGGTGGACTAGTTGTTTCAACTGTTGTTGTTTGATTTATTGAAATTGTTATCTTTCATAATTGCTTGTGTAAGCCGAAAGTTTAGATTGGATTTAAACATGTATCAATATGGGGTTTTCCTTTCGTCTTTCAATGATAATGTTATTAAGCTTATCAGACAATATGAAAGGAACTTACTTAAAATAAATAGACAAAACTTGTCTATATTATTTAATGAAAAATTGATGCCTATATATATATATATATATATATATATATTTATATATATATGTGAGTTTGTGACCCTGGATAGAATCGTCAGAGTTTGTCTGACAATCGTTAAAAGCGTGAAACCCAGGGCCACAAACTCACATCTATCCAACCAAATATGTTAGCTCTATCTCTGATATTGAGCACTTTCTAATAAGTACTCTTGCATATAATATATAAATAATTATACATATATATTTATTTATATTTATATACACTTTTCATATATATATATATATATATATATATATATATATATATATATGGTGTATCAAAACTATTTTTACAAACTTCAGGGATGGATTCCTCATAAACAAAACATATGTTCACAAATCCTTCGTTTTCCAGTTAAGTTTCAAGTTTATGGTAGACGTTATTAAATGTACAATCCAAAAATACTCTTACAAACTTTGGGGGACAGGTTCCTGACACCAAAACAAGGTAAAATGTCCAAAAGGTCATCGTCATACTTCAACACAGCAACTCATAAAAAATGTTCAAAACATCCTTTGCTTGCTTCTATGCATGCATGCACCTGTCGGATCATTGACTGGCAGACTCTTTCAAATACTCCCACATGGTGTCAAAGGATTTTGCAGGCTCCCATAACACATTGATGAAGTGTCTCTGCATTAGTAATATCTACTGCATAAACCAATTATTTTAAGTGGCCCAACAGATAAAAATTGAAAGGACTGAGGTCAGGGGAATGTGCAGGCCATGTGGAACTGGTCCTCCCCTACCTATCCATCTTTCATGGTAGATCGCTACATTGTGAAAAATGTGAATAAAATATGCTGGACCCCCATCATGCATGAATGACATGCATCTTCATATTAGCAGGTGTACATCCTCTAGCAGTTCTGGAAGTGTGTCCAAAATAAGGTCTTTGTAGAAAAGCTCCTGTAAGACATGCTGGAAGAGCATATGGACCTACCAGACAGTCACCTACAATTCCAGCCCACACATTAATTGCAAACTGATGCTGGTCTAAGGCCCGTATTGCACCATGGGGATTCCAATCTGCCAACAAATGTTGGGGGTGTAAATTTGTTATTCCATTTCTTCCAAATGTTGCCTCATCTGTAAATAAGACTGAAGAGACAAACAATGGATTGGCAGTTTGTACAATAAGTCATCAGCAAAAGTTTCTTTAAACTTCGTAACTCAAAAATGAAGGATTTGCAGACATATGTTCATATGGACTTTTGTCCTTTTTTTCTTGTAAGGAACCTGCCCCACAAAGTTTATAAAAGTATATATATATATATATATATATATATATATAAAAATTCTTTCAAACATGCTTGGTTGAATAATAGACAAGTTCTGTTGATCCAAGTTTTTGTTAACTTTTTCAAACTGCAGAACTAGTTGTTTTATATGGGGGTGCAGCAAAATACCTTCTGCATTTTGGTTTGGTTTGTTTTGGGTTATTTAATGCCAACAAAATATTTTATTGCTGGTAATAATTTTTTTCAAAAATGTATTGCTGGTAATAGGATCCCAGCTATGGACAAATAGTTAACTAACAGGTACTATCACCATGGGTCAGGGTTGATCTGGGAACACCAGCAATTAAGAGGTGGGTCCACGCTCCTCAAAACCTCCTGGTCAGAGGTTTTGCTGATGGACATAGTTTATCGTCTTACCCAGGATGTGGATGTACTTTAATGTCTTATCCAGGACGACTTCTGCATTTTATACTGTCACCTATGCAGTGGCAATGGTTTCTTCATCTTGCTAATGCCTTACCCCTTATTTTTTTCTTTTCTTTTTAGATACAAGCAGTTATGGCTTTGACAGGTGCACACTGAACGTTTGCTGTTTAAATGTTTTCAAGACTGGTGAATCTGTCATTGCAACGCAGAGAGCTTCTTGCACTCATTTCATGTTATGTCAGAATGCTGCTGTTCCGAACACAAAATCACTACTGCTATCGTTTGGGGGATAGAAGACACTATTTGGAGGATGTCATTTTTAAAATAAAATGAACAAAAATTGTAGCCCTTTGTTTAACAAACAGCGAAATAAATTTTTTAATAGCCATTGCGTTGAACTTTTTATCAACCTTTAAAATACAGGAGGTATTTCTGCCATACCCTGTATAATTGGTAAATTTACCAAAGTCCATTTTTATTTTATTTATTTATGGTTACAGCAAACGAGGGAACACCAGAATTACCCAAAATCACTTCCATAAACACACACACAAAAAAACAAAAAAAAAAAAAATTTCAAAATCTTTGAAACAAATGCAGCAACATTCAAAAATACACAGAAGGGGAAAAATACAAAAAATAAAAATGAACTTAATTTACCAAATATATAAAACAACTAATTCATTTATTCATATATATATATATATATATATATATATATATATATATATATATATATATATATTCATTTATGCATCCTTCATTTATGCATGTTTCTGTTAAAAAAACTGTTCAACTTTTCCAATGAAACTTCTTTTCAGTTTTAAAAAAAAGAAAGCATTCAAAACTGTCCAAATGAAACTATAAAACATTTGAACAGGTTTTACATGCTCTTTATCCAGAAAAGAAAGCTCTTGTTCAAACACAAAAAAATTAAATGAAAAGTTTAAATTTTTAGAGTAATCTTGTCTGTCGTTTTACATTTTATACACACACACACATTTATATATATATATATATATATATGGGTGTATATGTATATATTTATAGTGTCTTATAATGTATCATCTTATATATATAACTAAAATCTACTTTTGTTTGATAATTTATTTTATAATTGCTTGTAGACTTAATAATCAACAGTTGTGCCTTGTTACATTTTAATTTTATGGACTTTACAGTCCTTTATCGTCACTAAGATAATATTGTTAGAATATGTGTGTGTGTGTGTGTATTTTATATATATATATATATATATATATATATATATATATATATATATATATATGTGTGTGTTAAATATAATATTGAGATATAGAAAATTTTATAGCATTTAAAGTTTACAATTTTTTTATAGATGTTGTTTTCTAAACTTTCAACATCTACACACATTTTTTAATATACTGGGATTCCCCAGATTGCAATAAGCTTTTTGATTAGTAAATATAGTTTTACTTAATAACAATGTTCCCCAACCATTACACCATTGAAACTGAATTTTAAGGTATTTAAAATCATTATAAATTAATCTAATTAAAAAAAATTATTCTCTTTCAAAAATAATGAAAAAAAAAAAAAAAAAACTTGTTAAAATTCATTATTCAATTTTTTTTCTTAAGACAATGGTGTCTTAACATATCTTATTCATAAAAGCAATTAAAAACTTTTCTGATCACATAATATTTTAGCTCTATATCATTTTTTAATTTACAATTGAGAGTAGATTTTCAGTAAGATGGGATCAGATATTACAAAAAAAAAAAAAAATTGCTGATTTAAATTCACCAAGAAGTAATGCTTTTAACTGATATAGTCACTATGAATTGTTTAGTCGAATTTCTTGTGTTTTCATAAAATTAAATAACAAAGTGGGGTGTAACAATCTAAAATAACTTCATTCACTTGTGAATAAGTTCTGAAAATTTCATTAAACTCCAACAATTATTTGATTTTTGCAAGAATTTCCAAATCAATGTGTCAATTTGCTATGCTAGTCCATCGGCTGACGCAAGAAAAACAAGATTTTTAACCCAAATTCTGAATGTTCTAAAAAGGATTAAAAATTTTAATTAGATAATTAAAAAATACTTTGGTTTTTCCTCTTAATAAAACAAAAATTTTGGCAATAAAACCTTGTTTTTATGAAATTTGGGGAATTTTTTCATCATGGGATGCTCTTTTATCAGTGATTTTGTGGGGGTACCTATTTTAAATTTGCATAATCTACTTGCCCAGGAAATTGGAGCAACATAATCTCACTATCTTCATTTAATGCCATTGGCTTTTGGACCAAGCTAAGCTCTGTAAATATCAAAGTGGTTACCTTGTGGTCGAGTCAGTTGCTTATTTTTTTTCTAATACCATTTGCTGGGAATTTTTGTGCTCAGGTAAAATGTTTCAAATGCATTCAAACACAATCATCAGATTCTTCATTTCCCCACAATTTGGCATGTCACCTGATTAATTTAAAAATAGTGAATGTAAACCCTGACATGTTTTAAGGAGGTAAATAGCGTATCTATATTTTCTGACAATTCCAAGTCTAAGTAAAAAGTTACGATTTGGCATGCTAAATATCCGAGCATGAAGATGGCCCTGCCTGCTTGGAAGAGTGTGCGGCATCATTTTCATCTGAAATTTTAGATGAGGAATTATGCTTAATGTACCCTATTTTACTTGGACTACTGTATAATGGTTATCAATAAACTTTTTTTTTTTTAACTATTGTTTACACAATACAAGGCCAAAGTGCCACTCAAGGTAGAGGGTTGCTGAATCAGGATGTTGTAAGAGCATATAGTGAGGGAGAAAGGCTTGTATATTATGAGGATATGCAAGATAGATAATGGTTGACTTGAAGAGGTTAAGATTATAGTGATTAAGTAAGCATCCCCTTGGGAGTCCATTCCACATTGCAACCATTCTGGGGAACAAGCATTCTGAGTGGAACTTTCTCCTTACCTTGCTGAAGAGAGAAGTGTCATGGGAAAAACTGTCCTTTTGACACTACGTCTTATTACAGGCATGTTTGTCCATATGCAAAAATAAAAAAAATCACTAAAATCTCTTTGGGTAGGTAAACACCTTTTATGAAGAAAAAGATTGCAAATATTACCTGCGACCATATTTTTCTGGCAGTAGTCTTCATGGAACCAAGGAATGTCAAGATGCGGACATTCCAATATGGTAGTTCGGTTAAGCATCATTAGCATTCTTTGTAAAATATTTCTACTTTCTTTATTGGCTGTAAAAGAAAAACAATTTCAGAGAATTTAGGAAGATTTGCTTTTGAAAGGACAATGACATTTTAAACATTTCTAATTTGTAAAACATGAGAAAATGAATGCAAAGGATTATTTGTTAATACTTCCATTCCAATTCTCTGCAATCTGCAGTCATTCTGCCAATGCATCCATTTGAATTCACACAATGTTAGGGAAATCTTAGAAGTGTCTATTTTTGTATTTGTGTGTGCATACTCTTATGCACTGATTGATAATTTTTCTTTATTTTGTTTGAGATGGTTGAATGTAAAATGTACTTCTGACAGAGTTTAAACTTCATATTTCATTGGGTGGGGAGGCCATATCCATGAAAGTTATGATATTTTTTTTTATTAACATCTCACCACTAAGCAAGGCAATAAAGTCACTAAGATGCAAGGGGTTATTGAGGATGAAAACCAATAGAGTAGTTTTAGGTGTATACATGAAATAAGCTTTGGAGTAAAGGTCTGTACAAAACAAAAATACTTTTCATACACCTTAATATAGAGACTGAACTCTGGAAATACCTTCTTCGACATACCCCAGAAAAAGAAGTTAAGGAGACTAATATTTGGTGACCGAGGGGCCCATTCCTCATGGCCATGTCATTCAATCTAGTTAGGGAAATTGTCATTCAGCCAATCTCTTACTGCCATGGTATAATGTGCAGGTTCCTGTTGAAATCACTCAAGGGGAGCCTTCACATAATCGTTCAATTTGAGGCATTAACTAGTCTCTCAAGATGGCAAGGTTTGTCTCACCAGTTATGCTACCAGCAAAGAAAAATGCTTCCAATACAAGAGCTTATCACAATCTGTTGCATTCCTTGATGTTTGAAAGAGCCTATCCAATACAGATTGTATTGCAACCAGTACTTAACATTCTGTCAATTAACTGCACTGTTCACATAAAACAAAGCTTCATCACTGAAAAGCAGTCTTTTTTTTTTTGGAGTGGTACTTTTCATCTAAATTCATGCATCCAGACTTTATGATTACCCTATATCAGTGGTTCCCAAATGGTGTAGTGCACCTCATAGGTATGAAAGACAATTTAAGATTTAGAAGCAGTTTCAAAAAATTCATATTCCACAAATAAATGATTTCAAAATTTTAAATATTATTATGGATTATTTGTAATTGAATGCACGAGTCCCATTAAAATAGTTATAAATAATTATTGACTGATTTTATCATTGTGATATTATTGCATTATATCAAGTATTAAGAATATAGTAATTCTGGTCTGCAAATTGGACGAGAGAGTTATCAATGATAATATTTTGACTTCGATCAGTGATTATCTCCCTTTAACCTTCTTTGTTTTTTATTTTTAAATGTAATTTTAATCACATGCAATTTGGTAAGGCACAAGCAAATTTTCATTCTGAAAATGTGTCCCAGAGAAAAAAGTCTGGGAACCACTGCCTTATATTATAATAATAATAATAATAATAATGATGATGCATTTATAGTCTTTAAATGAGTCCATGAAATAAGCTTTGGCATAAAGGGCCATAAAAACTGAAGTGTAAGCGTTCTCAAAGCAAATTTGTGGCTTTCACAACACAAAGAAAGAAAATAACTTGTAACACGTCAGGAAAATAACTCACGAACGCTGTAGCCAAAACTGCCCAATTTTCCTTCCCCTTATATCGACAACACCAACTGCTTTTATCGGCAGAACATATTTTTTTCCATTCGTCGACAGCCGGGATAGGATGTCTCCAATTTATGATATTAATACACTCTTATAGCTTACTCCTCTTTACGAAATTGTTTCTTTTTCGCTTGGGTTGACGAGGTAAGTCGCTATAAGAGTTTTGCTGACTACTTTTTGGCAATCCCTCCCCGGCAGATCGCACACAAAACACAAACTTTTTTCCGGGGTACTTGATTATCTCGTTCACTACAAAAACATACATTTGGTACCTTCTAATATCTCTAGCTCCATTTAAAGATATAAAAGCAGCCCAAATCCTTAGACTTACTCAAGAAAGGTGTAGGATAAACAAAATGAGTTGACTTACTTTCAATGTGATTGTCAATCATTTCTATGTATTTTAAGGTGAAGATGGATGACAGCCAGTGGTCTGGGTAAATCTGCATCTGACAAAGGTCAAGGGTGAAGCGTAGCTGTTTTGGAAGGCTGGTCTCCATGATGTGCTTGTCGAGCATTTTTATGCAGACATTCTGAAAATCCTCAAAGGAATCAGGCTGGAAACCTATAAAACTCATGACGCGTATAAAGTTGGTAAAATCCTGGAAGTCGATGTCTTCATGGTTGTCAATAGCGAACTTGGTCAGGTCATTCATGATTTGGGGAGAGCAATATCGCAACTGCAAAGAGAAATGGAAAAAGTCAATGGTTCCTTTAGATATGAAAATCACTTTGGATACATGTGTGTAATTCTAAGAATTGTTTGGATTCTGTTTTTTTTTGTTTTTGTTCTTAGCAATTTCTTTTTCATCAAGCCATTCTTTGCTTTTCCTTAGGCACATAAATAAACGTTGTTCAAATCTCTTTTTTCTAATATCAATTTCTTAATTTTACATACTAGTAAGAATGTATAGCTCCCATCCAATTATTACAGGATACAGATAGTATTTTTCCTATCTCTGTCCTATAATAGATAGTACATTTACATACATATTTAATGCACAAAATGTAACAGCTGTTATGGGACAGAGGCAATATATTCCTATGACAGCCATCTGCTGGACACCACAGGGCAACAGAAAACACAGCAGACCCAAAGAGATATAGAACAGTGAAGCAAGAGCTCAAGGGCTATTTGCCTAACATTGCAAATGTTTCCAATGCAATGGCCGACAGTCAGAGATGCCTCTCTCTTACCATCACCTCAAGTGCCAATCGGTATAAAGAGGACTGAATGATTAAAGGCTATAGATATATTTTTGCAATTGTCAGGTTCTGATTGAGTTTTCAATCAGCACCTGATGATTATATTGTGCATGAAACTCGGTTTGTGCTATTGGTGAGGAGAAAAAGTGTTCATTATTATTATCATAAATTATAGCTCTGTTATTATACATTGAGCACCATGTTATTAGCACCATCATTCAATGTGTGAGAGATATATATATATATATACACACACACACACACACACAATTCACATTATTCAGACTATTGTCTTCATCTTTGTCGCCACATTTATTACAACGTTTTTTCACCCGTTGTACGCTCCGGCCTTCTTCAGGTGGTTGGAATGTCGAACTGAACCCTTTATTTTGCTCACTGGGGTAGACTGTTCTAGTTCCATGTGTCCTCAAGGATACATGGCACAGTGGATAAAGGCATTAGTTAGATCCAGTGACAGGACCCAAAGAGTGTGAGTTCAATACCCGGTTAAGGCAGTGGAGAACTTTCAGAGCCAAATTAACAGGAGATAACTGACATCCATTAAACATGGCACGTGGAACTAGAACAGTCTGCCCCAGTGAGTGAAATAAAGGGTTCAGTTCGACATTCCAACCACCTGAAGAAGGTCAGAGCGCATAATATGGAAACGTTGTAATAAATTGATGACAAAGATGTAGACAATAGTCGAATAATGTGAATAATGTACATAATGCCTCATCTCATATATTATATATATATATATATATATATATATATATATATATATATATATATACATACATACACAGAGACAAACCTCTCATCAATGTACTAATAGGTGGAGGGGTGGTCTGTTAAAGCTGATTGTTTGTAGGTAGGAAGGATTTATTTATGAGTTATAAAACCACTTTTGTAACTACCAGTAGTTATGATCATAATGTAAATACTATATATATATATATATATATATATATATATATATATATATATATATACTGTACTGTATATATACATTATACCATATATCATTTAATGTATCATACTTTATATACTGTACACCTATCTCTGTTTATAATTCAAAGGCCAGTGACCACCGACAAGTGGTCACCTTGAGAACTAATATGATACATTCCACTAAAACTGAAAATTTTGAAGTTTTTTTCTTATAGATTTTTTTTTTTTATTTTGCCTGCAGATTTTGTCCGTTGCATCTGAAGTCAGTTGATGGGGTCCATAGATGAGGTGTGTATGTGTGTGTGCTTTAAAATTGATGGAATGCATTCTTTTAAAGGGACATTTTTCACTTAACACTTCTTCAGAAGTATTTGTTGGAACAACAATAATTAAAATGGCAAAACTAAAAAAGGTGAACACTGGAGTTTTAAATAAATCTCTATATAAAAAACTGACTGCAAAATCCAAACTTAAAAAGTTCTTCAAATGGAAAATAAAACAAATCAACAGTCAGTCAGAATCAAATGATTTTGGAGTGCACTTTCTTTGTTGGATCACAGACTACTTGTAACTAAATTAGCAACACTATCCAACAAAATTTGCTTGCTTCTACTCACATAAACCAAGAAAAACACAGAGCTATAACATCCAAGCACTCAAAAATTAAAGGGAAAATAAATTAGAATCCAAACTGATGTCAGTAAATATTGATCAAAACAGAGGAATCAAATAATGTTATATTGTCATTAGCTGAAGCATGGGAGACCATTCCAAGAATACCAAGAAAGAAAAAGATACACCCATAGGATGACAATCCTGAATTGAAAAAAATTGATACGAGAAAGAAACAAACAGAAGAAAAAAAAATGGAAGGGAAAATACTAAACAATTAAGAAAGAGAAAAACCAAAACTAATTAATTCTTTGCAAAACCAATATCTCTGGAAAATTGTGAATGAAATTAATGAAGCCAAGCAGCATAGAAAATGTGAAGAAAAAAAATGATGTCATACAATCAAAACTTCTGCAGAAGAAATGTCCTGGTCTCAAAAAACACTTTGAATTACATTTCAACCGTGACCACATTAAAAGATGCCTGCAGAAATAAGAGAACATATACCAATATTTACCCAAGTCCATTTCCAAACATAAACGATAATAAACCTAGTGATGAAGAAATTAAGAAAGATGTTAAAAACTAAGGAATAATAAAGCATCACTTGAGAGTGAGGCTGAAGTTTTGAAAATAGCCTCCAATTCAATAAGAAGTTCTATTTTATGAAAAATGTCTGGAATCAGAAATGCCTCTCCCAAAGGCAGCATTTATCATACATTAATACATTATGGGAACAGAAAGGTAGCCCTCAAGGCACTCATACACACAGAGGTATCTCAATTGAATCTATCAAAGTTTTATGAAAGTCAACTCCTCCCAACCCAGTTTGGTTTTCATTGTGGCAATGGATGCAATGATGGCATATATCATCAAACAATTCCAAGAAATTGCTTACCTTTCTAATAGAAACCTTTATACCTGCTTTGCCGATCACACAGTGGATTTGGATCATTGAAGTCAGTCTCTAATGGATAAGAAGAAGAAGCCTCTATATGACCATATCAATAGAGGCTGACTTCCAAGATCAAAATTCATTGAATGCATAGATTTAATAGAGGAACTGTACCGATCCACAGAATCTTACATGTCTGGCAAGGAACACAATATGGAAACATTTAAAATCTCAGCAGAAGTATAAGGAGGAGGAAATGAGAGCTCCACTCTATTTAATCTTTTCCTAGACTATGCTCTGTGCATTTACAAATACAGATGTGAAGAGATGGGAACTGGCCATTTAAGCTACAGATGCTAGCATGTACGCCTCTGACCAGGGTTTACCTACAGACTTTAACATGTATGACCCCGACCAGGGTCTACATACATACCCTGAAGTGTTTACTAATGTCTTTGATGCTGGAAAATGTGGTACCTACCTGGCTAAAAAGTGAGACAATGTTTCGGAAATGTCTCTTGGAAAGAGTGTGGGTCAATGTACTTAACGTGTCCATAATGTTGTCCAGAAGAACCAATTCTCGCCGTTCACTCTTGAGGTATAAGACCTGTATCATTTGGACCAAAGGGTCGATTGTGGTCACCTTGTGCAGTTGGGTGTTCATGTTTTGGTGTAGTGCAGTCTGCAGCTGCAGCACCTGGCTGTACATTTGCCGTATCCAGGGCTTTTTCATGCGGTTCAGCCCAAACAAGATCAACGCCATGTTGTTGATTTCGCATTGCGGGATGATACGAAGCAGCTTATCCATAAGGATGTTGGGGATGACAGGTTTGGAAATTGGTAGTAGAAAAGAGGCAAGGGTACAGATTGTCCAGACACTGAGGCCCTGTTGAGAGTTGAGTAACTTGAGAACCTCATTGTAATAGGCAGACTCCATTTCAGAATCCATGATACGACACCTGGAAAGAAAAGAAAAATGAATATAGAGGAAAATCATTCGAGTTATGCTGGATTTGTTAAAGGTGATCTACTAAAACTGCAAATGGTATTTATTCTACTGCTCATAAAGTGAGGGATCGCTTTCTTATTGTTTTCAGATATTAAACTGACCCCACTTTGGAATTACTTTAGATTATTATAAATAAATGGAAACTATATGTAAAGATTTTATAAAAAATTTTTTATTAGTAACTAATACAAAATAATTAAAAATTGTAGATAAATATTATAATCTACGTTTGTCTTTTATACTTACTTTTGGAAGAAGTGTATTTAAAAGAAAAGCCAGATATAAGAAATTAAATTTGATGCATTACATTTGCCTGTAAAAGATACTAATTTTAGAATAAGCTCTAAAAGAACTGCCAAAAATAATTCAGTCAAGCAGGATTGTTTCAAATTTCATTTATTCAAATTTTAGAAATATATACTCTTTGTATTTATTGACCAATCAAAAAGGTGACTTCCACCCACATAAATTTATAGTTAAGATCCATCTGGGGCTTCTTTGATGACATATATAAGAAGATGGTTCAGTGGTTTCGTTTGGTTTATTTTGCATATCAACCTCAATGGGTTATTTAATGCCGACAACATTTTTTATTGCTGGTAATATTTTGTATTGTCAAAAATGTGTTTCTGGTAATATTTTTCCTTCAAAATTGTATTGCTGGTAATATTTAACTATTTGCCCATAGCTGGGACTCTAGCAGGTGCTACCACCCCGGGTCAGGGTGGACCTGGGAACACCAGCAATTAAGAGGTGGTTCAACACTCCTCAAAACTTCCTGATCAGAGGCCTTGCTGCTGGACGTAGTTTATCGTCTTACCCAGGACACAGATGTCGTTTAATGTCTTAGGCAGAACAAGATGGGTCAGTGGATAACTTCAGAAGGTAATATAATTTTTGACTAGAAGGTAGAAATAATTTCCTTGAAAGAGCAAAAATTTTGAAAGAGTCAGAAGACTTCAAAATTTCATTCTTTAGGCTCAGAAGGAAAACTATTTTTTGCCAGTCATCTGTGGATCAGCTGCATTGTTAATAACTTGGAATATATATAATCAGGAAAACAGTAGATTACTATTATTTTTGCCCTTTTTTTTTTCTTCTGATTGTTTTGACTGAAAATTTTGTCATTACAGCCATGGAATTTATTCCACACAATATTAGAAGAGTGTGGATTTTAGAAACTGTTAATGTATAGAATTTATTTTTACATTTAAATCAAGTTCAACTGTAAATTGATGAGATCTTGACACCAGGGTCTAGTACTGTAGAACTTAAATTCAAAAAATCTAGGGAATACTATAGAAGAGTAAGAAGACATCATAACAATTACCATGAAAATACTTATAGAAAAGGCACAGAAAAGAAGCCAAAGAGTTCCACAAGCGAGTGGGAAAAGAAACTGTTAGCATAGAATTTAGATTACATCTACCAATAATATTGATGATTCTTCTTCTAGATTTTATCAAAAGCTCAAGATATAGCAGAAGGCATCAAAACATATTGGCAGCAATATTCTAAGCAAAAGACAAATGGTAGACTTATAGATATGTAAGATAGATTCTGAAGAGAAAATTGTCTTACACAACACAGTGAACCAACTTTCCTAGCAGCTGACCTAACAATTTGGAATATAGTCTTTCCACTTAATTTCAGCTGTTATCACAGAAAATCATGAGTTGAGTTGATATCAAAAAACATTTAGACATATGTGACTGATTAAAAAAATTGGGAAGGGTGTAATTAATGATAAAAGGAATTTTGATAGAAAAATTGTTTAAAATGCTTGGCCAGATTTTATTCTTAATGGGGAGAGGGGGGGTCACAGCCATAATGCATGCATGAATAAAAGGCAGAGAAAATTGTTTCAATTTTTAGAGCTTGTTTATTTTTTTTTTTTTCAATTATTGACTAAAAATGTAGTGATAAAAAACAAAAAAGAATTTAAAATGGAAAAATTCAGTTCTTTCCCTTTGCTATATTGATAATAAAAAAAAAACAAACACATAAAATGGAAGTCAATAAAAGGCTTTAAGATAATGCACATATACATATATACAAATTTTCACCCTCAAAGCATGATGGATCAGATTTTATAACATAGATTGTATATTCTTTTCTCGATGATTTCTATTAAAAATGATATAATATGAAATAAAATCCAGTGTTGGTTGAACAGTGGTAGAAAAAATTATTTAATGCTCAGTTACCAGTTGAATGGTGGGTAAACACTATTTTTCATTATTTGGACTATTGTCCTCATTTTGTTGCCATTATTTATTATGAAATAAGAGTGGCTGAAATACAATTATTTATGGATGAATGTTCAGGGAATAAATGAAGGATCGATGAAAAAATAAATTTTGCTTTTTTTTTTTTTTTTTCTTTGCCATATTTAATGGATGTTTTAATTTTCAATTTCCCTCTAAAAGTTCTCCACTGCCTTAAAGAGGTTTGAATAAGTTCTTCATTGGGTTCTTGCAGTGGAAATAAAAAAAATTTTTTTTTTTGTGATAGTTTTTAATTTCAAAGATACTGGTATTTTAAACATTTATAGTATTTTTTATATCTACTGTGATCAGATTAGATAATGAATTTATGTAAAAAAAAATTTAAGAATAAAAAAGGCAAAAGATTAAATTGAATTGATCAAAAAAAACAAAAGCAGATAGATGACCAAAATTTTGTGACAAACATTCAAGGAAAATGAAAATAGTTAAAAAAAAAAAATGGCCAAAAAATCATATAGCATCAATTGTCAATCAAATTGAAGGAATCTGTTTACAAGAGCATTTAAAACCCAAATTCTCCAACCAATTTTGCCATGTTTTCATCTTTTCTCAATTAACCTCTTGAGCCAAAAAACAAGTTCTTATGGTCAAGTGTCTACTGTTAGATATAAAAAACAAAAATTATCTTGTCTGAGCTTTTCAAAAAAAAAAAAAAATCTAATAATTCAAAATCTGTCTTATTTCATAGATTTGATTTTTATGTACTATTTGTCCATAACTGGGATTTATACTAAATTGCTAATAAAACCAGGTCATTATAAGGCCATTTTGACCAGGAGGTCTGATGGAAAATTGGAATCACCTTCAATTGGTGATGTTCAACTGTTCCATTCCATGTACCATGTTTAATTTTCTATCTGTTATCTCCCAGCTAATTCCTTCAAATGGTGAACTCCCAAACTAATATAAAAAAACATGAAAATTTTTATATTTTAAAAAACAAAATTACAGTAATACAGTTTTTGATCCATCTGAAAAAAAAGGAAAAAAATTATCATGAATAATCTGGGAAAAAAAAATAATTACTAAAGTTTACAAGAAAATAAAATTTATCAATAAATGACCCATAAGGATTGATGTGTTTTTTTTTTTTTTAAAAAGTATCTAACTTTCCCATTTCTTAAGGAACAAATTGGTTTACAAATTAAACTTTTCTTTTCTAAAAAATCTTTTATAAGTTTGAGCCCAAATTGTATATTTTTTTATTTTATAAATATATATATTAATAAATTTACTTGGATATGTTTCTCCTCCAAATTCTGAACGTAAAATTTTAAACTTAAAATTTAATTAATATTTGTTTCACATTTATAACTTCTTCACAGTTCAAATGAAGTGAGAGGAACTATTGACACAAAAAACATTTTTTTTTGGAGAAAACCTGAAATTAGGAATAAGTAAAAAGCAAGGAACAAAATTTGGTACACATCAAATTTAATTATACAAATATTTTTTTTTGATTGCTTGATTTTATTAAACTTAATCACTCTCTGGTACCATGAGAAAGCGGCCTCTGGTCCATCCCAGGGGAGGGCACCTCCCATAATTTTTCTCAGTTTTCAACTCTGTCCTTTGATATTGTAGCCCCATTTATTTTACACTGAGAAAGACAGAGAAATAACTGAGATAAGATAAGTAATGTTGTTATGTTACTTGATTATAACAATTTACACCCAAGTATTTGATTGTCCTCTTCTTTTAATTTTAATTAAAAATCTATTCACAATTACAAAAATTAAAATATATAATAAACTATTTTTTTTACTTCTTGATATTAATTTCCATATGGACTTTTTTTTTTTTGTCTGTTTCTAATTATATCTTAACTTGGGTTTTTTTTTGGTTTGGTGCATCTATATAAGATATTAAATTTTTTGGAGTGGTTTGAGTTGGGGGGTATATTCTCTCCTTCCAGTTAAAGGAAAAACCATTAAGATCCTTTATTATAAAAATATTTTATCATCTCTGTCCAATATTATTTTTTTATTTTATTTTTTTAAATTTATTTATAATTATCCATATAAATATTTTATTATTTTTTTTCTTGATATTAATTTCCACAGGTCATTATTGAAATGAAACTTTTTTTGTGTTTTCTATTATTCCATTTTGAAAATTTTTTTTGGTTATGTTTTTAAAATTGATTAATACATGTATTTTTTTCTGTCAAATAAAAATTTCATATTTAAAAATTATTTTAAGAATAAATTTTTTTTTGTTTAAAAATAAGACAAATTCTAATGTTTAGCTATCTGAATAAATACAAATTTTTTTTTTTTTCATGTTTATTTCAATTTATTTATGAATGAAATGTTCATTTAAAATTTTGTTTATAGACATTTTTATGAATAATATATTTTTTTGAAAAGCCATATGATTATTTGATAAAAAAGTTTATTCAATTTATATAAAATATATTATGTCAATAAAAAATTAAACTGATAATTTAAATATCTTCAAATTTCACTATATATCTGATATGTTGATTTATTTGAAAAAACATCTATCTATATCTCATCATTCCATTTCATTTTATTTATCTATCTAGCAGTAGAGTTCATATATATCCATTTATAACATCTATATATATATTCATATATATCTATCCATCTCAAAATTCATATCTTTCTAAATAAAATATCAAAGATTTATTTCAGGCTGTTGAACTATATCTCTGTCTTTTTTTTTTTTTTTTTTTTG